GCACTGCCCCGCTCCCTCCCCCGCCTCTCTTCCTCGCGCCAGGTGCTGCTGTGGTAGACCCCCTCCCCCCTCAGGGTGCCGCTCCCTCAGGTGTGTCCCAGGTAGACCCGGTTGAGCCTGTCGAGGTCGCTGTCGACTCTCGTCCTGCTAGGGGTGCTGCACCTGCGAGTGAGGAGCCTGGCGGTGCTGAGTCTGGGGGTGCGGAGCCTGGGGGTGCTGAGCCTGGGGGTACTGAGCCTGGGGGTGCGGAGCCTGGGGGTGCAGACCTTGGAGGTGCGGAGCCTGAGGGTGCTGAGCCTGGAGGTGCTGAGTCTGGGGGTGCTGAGCCTGAGAGTGCCACACCTGGAGGAGCCCTCTCCTCGCAGCAGCTGCAGGAGAGGTACCTACAGTACTGCGACCTCCGGAGAGGTGCTGCTGGAGCGGGTACCAGTGCTTCCCCTCCTACCCGGGAGCTCCCCTCCCTTCAGCAGATCCGAGAGTGGTACACACGGCGCTGCAGCCTTCGGAGTGGCGCTCCTGGTGCTGCGGACCCTGGAGTTGGAGCTGCTGCTGGTGCTGAGGACCCGGGCGGTGGAGCTGCTGCTGGTGCGGAGGACCCGGCCGGTGGAGCTGCTGCTGGTGCTACGGACCCTGGAGTTGGAGCTACTGCTGGTGCTGAGGACCCGAGCGGTGGAGCTACTGCTGGTGCTGAGGACCCGAGCGGTGGAGCTGCTGCTGGCGCTGAGGACCCGAGGGGTGGAGCTGCTGCTGGTGCTGAGGACCCGGGCAGTGGAGCTGCTGCTGGTGCTGAGGACCCGGGCGGTGGAGCTACTGCTGGTGCTGAGGACCCTGGCGCTGGTGTCTCTGGTGGTTCTGGAGACGCTGCGCGGCCGCGACCGTACTTCGTACCACTCCTTCAGCAGGTTCTTGGTCAGGCTCCTCCTCCTTGTCCTGCTCCCTCCTTAGAGTGTCCTCCGCCTGTCCAGTCGCAGTCCCAGTTACCGCCTGCCTCGCCTCTCCCTGGTCCCTCTCCTTACACTGGTCCCACAGGAGGTCTTACGGAGCGTCGTGAGCCTGAGTCTCGTCCTGCGTCGCCTGTTCGTACTGCTCGCACTGGTCGTCGTGTCCCACGTGAGCGTCCTCCTCCTGTCCCTGGCACTCACTACATGACCCTGCGTCCCTCCACTGCTCCTCAGCGTATCCCTCTACCGTCTCCTCCTGCGTCCTCTCTACCTACTCTTCCTGACCCGGAGTCTGACTCCCGTCGTGCTGCCAGTCCCACTGTCACGCGTCTCCTCGCCACTGTTGTCACTGACCCTACCTTTGAGTCCTCTGCTGCGTCTGCTCTGGTCGTTGAGTTGGTTGACTTTGCTGCCCGGTGTCGTCTAGACTACGCCGCTAGCCTTGTTGCTGAGTCTGAGTCTGTCTGTCCTCCGTCCGTCGGGGGTGAGTGTGCTCTTGGCACGGACGTCCTTGAGGACAGACAGGAGGAGTTCCAGTGCTTTGCTGCTGCTTTGCCCCATCTCGTGTCCATGCTAGTTGCCCCTGAGGGAGACCCGGATGCACCAGACATCCCGACCCCGCACTCTTACGCAGAGGCGATAGAGGGTCCCTACTCCTCTCAGTGGCAGACAGCCATGGACGCAGAGATGGCTTCCTGGAAGTCCACAGGCACCTACGTCGACGAGGTTCCCCCACCTGGGGCGAACATCGTCAGTGGCATGTGGATTTTCAGGGTGAAGCGGCCGCCGGGTTCTCCTCCTGTCTTCAAGGCGCGCTACGTTGCTCGAGGCTTCAGTCAGCGAGAGGGAGTAGACTTCTTCCAGACCTTCTCCCCCACCCCGAAGATGACTACTCTTCGGGTGCTGCTGCACATAGCCGCTCAGCGCGACTACGAGCTTCACTCACTTGACTTCAGCACTGCTTTCTTGCAGGGCAGCCTGCACGAGGAGATCTGGCTACGCCGCCCTCCTGGCTTCACTGGGTCGGTTCCTCCTGGTACCCAGTGGAGGCTCCAGCGGCCGGTCTACGGTCTCCGCCAGGCACCGCGTGAGTGGCACGACACACTGAGGACGACACTTGCGGCTCTTGGGTTCGCTCCCTCTACTGCTGACCCGTCACTGTTTCTACGCACAGACACCTCGCTGCCGCCGTTCTACATCCTCGTGTACGTCGACGACTTGGTCTTTGCCACTGCTGACACCGCGGCACTCGCCCACGTGAAGTCGGAGCTGCAGAGGAGACACACGTGCACAGACCTGGGTGAACTGACAAGCTATCTTGGCACCATCACCGTGACTCAGTCACACATGGTGCAGCAGATCCTTCAGCGCTTCCGCTTCACGTACTCCTCGCCACAGTCCACTCCTCTGCCTACCGGTCACTCGCTCTCATCTCTGCCTTCGGATGAGTCCGTAGAGCCGAGTGGCCCGTATCCAGAGCTTGTGGGCTGCCTCATGTACCTGATGACCTGCACTCGACCTGACCTTGCATACCCTCTTAGCATCCTTGCACGCTATGTCGCTCCTGGCTGTCACAGGAAGGAGCACATGGATGCTGCTAAGAGGGTGTTGCGCTACTTGTGCAGTACGTCGGGCATGGGGCTAGTGCTTGGAGGGCGAGACCGAGTTGTACTCACTGGTCACTCAGACGCTTCTTGGGCGGACGACCAGGCTACTCAGCGGTCGTCTCAGGGTTACACCTTCAGCCTTGGCTCCGGCTCAGTTTCTTGGCGTTCCACACGCTCTTCTTCTGTTCTCAGCTCCAGTTGTGAGGCTGAGATCTACGCCACAACCATGGCTGCCCAGGAGCTACGCTGGCTGACCTACCTGCTGACCGACTTGGGAGAGCGGCCTCGTTCTCCTCCAGTGCTGTACGTCGACAACAAGGCTGCCATTGCCTTGTGTGAGGAGCACAGACTGGAGCACAGAACGAAGCACATCGCCCTGCGGTACTTCCTTGCTCGAGAGCTGCAGCAGCGCGGTCAGCTTTGTCTGCGTTACGTGGCCACTGAGGCCAACACTGCTGATGTGTTCACCAAGGCGCTTCAGCCTTGTGACCATCAGCGCTTCTGTACTCTTCTAGGCCTTGTGCCTGCTGGACCTCACTTGCTTACTTCTTGACTCTGTTTGTACTGTGATCTCTATATATATACCTGCATGCTTACACTTGCTAGGTTGCGATCACTGTATCTCTTGCTATATTATCAAACTGCATGTGAACTGGTCTTGTGACCGCTTGCTTGTGCTCGGAATTTGTGTGGTATCCTTGAGATCCACCCTGAGCCTGTTTTGCTTTGCTTTGCTTTGACTGGTCTTGTGACCCTCTGGTTGTCTCCCACTTCGCCTATGGGGGTGTGTCAAACATTGTATGTTTATATTGTGTAGGCTATAGTGGGTTTAGCCTTAGAGGGTACACAAACTTAGGGTTTCATACTTGTACCCACCTTCCTGCTAGTTCATCCATTCTCGTTCTATTCTAGATTCTGACAGTAGCGTCGCTCCGCGCGCAAGCGAAGTGTGCGTCCCCTCGCCGACCTGGGCCAATGGACGCGAAGTCGACGTTCTGCCAAGGCGGAGACGGACCACCTGTGCCACTTGCGCATCCGCCCTCCGCGCCCTGCCGAGCCAGGCCCCACACCCTTGGGCGATGCTGAACGGGCCTGGGGTGGGGCACCACCTCCTTTTCTTGGTGGAAGGTGGCTTCGCTCCTCATTTTCCGCATCTCGTTTCGATTTTCACAACTTGATAGCTCTGCGCCTCCCCCTAAATCCGTGCTCTCGTGCCTTAGCCGTCCGCGTATTTTTTTAGTCGATAGATATGGAGCCGAGCCCCGACGCCGATAAGTCGGCGCCGACTTCGGCTGACTTTCCCCTTCGCCACCGAATGGGTCGCGGTCTCAGCTTCACCTTCGAGTGGAACGACTTCGCCGTCCTTCGCGACCAAAATAAAGAGTTCACCGACAGATGCTTCGGATTCGGCATCAGGTGGGACTCGGGTAGGCGCGGTGGTCGAATAGGGCATGTCGGCGCCGACTAACTCTAGCAGGGCATAGGGAAAAGTCGGCGCCGTTGGGGGTCGCATTATCGCCGAATGTCATCAAACTTACGTCGGCGTACGCGACATTAGGCATGGTCCCCGTCCAGGGACGTCGGTCGGCAAAGCAAGCGTCGACCACGTACTTTCCGCGTTTGACGTACGGTAGACGTCGCCCTGATAGCGTTTGCTCACCAGCCATGTTATCATCCATCATGCTCACTCGTGCGCCCATGTTCGCTTAGTTTCGCATTAGGCGGGATGACCAGCGGTTGTGGGTAATCGGAGTCGGCCCGCTTCGATCGGCCATGACTAAAGGCTGCCGACCATTCTTGCTTTGCTACGGTTTTCGACGCCGACATCGCCGCTATCCCGTTACGATCGACGTGAGTTGTTTCCCCGTTGTCCAGTTATCGTTTTGTGTAGTCGGTCGCATCATCGCCTAATGTTGTGGTCGACACCGTCGTGTATTGCATGTGCAGCGGCGGCCCACTTCCAGGGTCACACTCCAGCGTCATAGCCATCCTCTACCCAGGAGATCTGCTGAAGGCTGAGGGACAGGTCTGCAGGACATCGATCCGGCACATCGACCCGCACACCGGAAAATTGAAGCACCGCGACGAGGCAGTCCGCGTGCTGAAGTAAGTTGTGAATAGTCGTCGCTGTCCCGCTTGTTAGTCGCCGACAAAGGGTATTACATGCTGACCGCCTCCTTTTACCACGATGCTCCAGGCTATTCCGCACGGCTGTCCTGGTCGAGCTGGGGCGTCCCGGTAGGAAGTGGGACGGGGTGCTGCCATCACAAGCAGTGGTGGAGGAAAGGCTTGCCGACTGCGACGACCCTATCCGCGACGTGAGTTGCACGTTTAAGCTGCGCTCTTAACGGGGTGCACGTTTCTGTATGCTCCGCTCATAATGTTCCGCGCTTGCCGGTGTTGTCTGCAGAAAGTGCCGGACACAGTGTCGGACGGGCATGTCGGCACCGGCATGCTTGCCGCGACGTCGTTCGGGTGGGTGGCCAAGCAGATCGACCTGCTGACGGGCGACAAGGCTCGAAGTGCGGTGAGCATCGAGAACATCAAGATCAAGGGTTTGAGGTCGCTCCGTGATAGCATGGTCGAGTACATCTGCAATCTCATCGCCGAAAAACGATCTGCGCCGCCGACTTCAGGAGCCGTCGGACCCGCCGACAGTGCGATTGATGACGACGGCGCGGAAAGTCAGACGGCGCCCCAAGCAGCAGCTGCCGCCCAGCACCAGGTGGAATTGCCGGTGTCCGCGGAAGGAGGAACCGGTGGAGGAGGAGGCGACGATGTGGCAGGTGGAGGAAGGAAGGAAGAGGATTCGGACTCGTCGGACTCGGACTCATAGTCGGAGTCAGAGGGGGAGGAGGAGGACGAGGCGGTGAAGCAGAAGGTCGAGGAGGATGACGAGGAGGAGGAGGAGAAGGACGAAAACAAAGAGGTGGAGGTGGTGGAAACGAAGGATGAGGCGGTGAAGGACCAGGAGGGGGTGGATGACGATGTGCAGTACGAGCTGGAGTACGCCGACGGTACGGTTGAGGCGGTGGGGTCGGCGGATGAAAAGTACGAGGAAGCGGAGGATGGCGAAGCGGGTAATGCTACGAGGTCGACAGATGGGGGGAAGGAGAAGGAGGAGGGCGGCGTGGAGGCAACGACGGAAAAGGGCCAGGAGGAGGCGGCGGCTGTCGAAGGTGGGAAGGTGCCGGTCGACGCCGGCGAAGGGGCGAACATCACGGGCGTGCAGGAGACAGGGGAAGCATCTGGTCGGCACCTTGCTGAACTGGACGACGTAACTTCCTGTTGAGGGCGGAGAACGCTCGGCTGGCGACGTTGCTCGATGCAGAGAAGGCTCGGCTGGACAGATTTTTTGCTGGGTTAAATGGACTCGTCGACCACGTGAAAGGGTTGGCCGAGCAGGTCGACGACACCGAGAAGTATGCGGCGGAACAGCTGCGAAACGCGACGGCGGGCATGTCGAAGACCATCACGGGCGAAGTCACCGGCAGCTTCGACGAAGCGTTGAAGTCAATGAAGACCTTCGCGGAAGAGGCGTCGGCGTGGATGGAGGACTTCGACAATCCGGTGGGACATGTGGCATGTGCACGCGCGGAAGCTGTCGACGCCATGGCCGAGCACGTGAACGGGGTGGTGAGCGCAGCGAGGCGGGGTTTGGAGCTGTACATCACGAATCAACTATCCGCCGCGCAGGTCAACATCGCCACCGCTGTGACCTCCAGGCTCCCCGTGCAGCCGCCGCCACCGCCTCAGCCCACGCCGCCCGCCCTCCCGGAAGAGCTCTTGAAGTCACTCAAGGCCGACATCATGAAGACGGTGACGGAGGCCACCCAGCAGTCGTTCGTTGCTTCCGGGATGAAGACGTTGACCGGCACTGTGGCGCCTGGTCGATGTGGGTCGTCGCCGTCGGCCAATGACGCCGATCACGCGCAAAGGAGGGCGGCCAACAAGCAGGGCCAGAAGAGGACGGGCGACGGTGACGACAAGAAGAGCGCGAAGCGGAGCAAGGGATCGGACGGGAGCCGCGGCACGAAGCCTCCTGCTCAGAGCGTGGTCGACCAGTTGAAGGCGAAGGCGGGGTGGACGGTGTTGAGGACGTCGAACAGGAAGGGAGGCGGAAGCGGGGGAACAGAGGGTGGCCCTGCCAACGGGGTCGCCTCTGACGTCGCTGCACCGCCTGACCCGCCTTTGGTCGCCGAGCAGATCCATCCTCAGGCGAGCGGTGGGAAAGGCACGGCCGACAAGAAGGTCCCTACTGCTCCGGCGGCGATAGATGGCGGCGCCGGAACCACCAAGGGACCCTCCGTCGTGGTGGCGGCCAAGGGCAACGCGAAGGCTGCTTCTGCTACCGTCGCCGGAACCAGCAAGTCGATTCCCCGTAACACCCCTGCGGCTACAACTGCGCCTGTCGGCTAGTCAGGTGCGAACAGGATGGGGAGGCCCGTGCGGCCCCTCCAGCTCCAGCAGCCCCGTCTGCCGCCAAGGGCGATGCTCCGGCATCAGCTAAGGTGCCCGCCGGCAGTAACACGCTAAGGGAGATGCTCCGCCGCATGGATGCACATCGCAGGGACGTGCAGCAGCCTCCCGTGGTCGACGCCGCCCTTACCGAAACAGCACGTCGCTCCGTCACTTCGCAGGTTGCCGGCAAATCGTCCGGTGCCCCACCTGCCGCGCCTCCGGTCGCCGCCCCACCGATCGCGGACCCCAAGTCCGCGTTTCTTCGCGCCCATTTAGGCGCACGCAAAGCGGCAGCTCCACCAGTCACTCAGCCGGAACCCGGCACAAGCGCGACGCCGACGTCGGTAAACACGACCGCACCCACACCAGGTACAGCTGTGGTCGATGTGGCGGCGGAGAAGGGTGTGAGTGCAGCGCTAGCCACCGGCGGCCGAGCTGACAGGCATGCCGACCTCGCTGCCGCTCTGGCCCATTTTAAAGCAGCAAAACGCCCCGAGCACGGCCCTGCCCTGGCCATCATGGACACGGCGCATGTGGAGCCGTCGGCGACACACGGAGGGGGTTCAGCGGAGCAGACGGCTGCAACGGGTGCTGTCGCCGAGAGAAATGCGGGACGGAAGGGGAAGAACGACACCAGGAAAGGGAAGGCGGTCTCTCAGAGGAGCACGCGGGCGATGTCGGTGGGGAAGGAGATGTCGGAAGAGAAAGGGAAGAAGCCGGCAGGGAAACAGGACAAGACGGCCGGCAAGGGTAAGCCGGCGAAGAAGAAGGCGAAGGCAGAGGAGGTGGAGGAGGAGGAGGAGGCGGACGAGGCGGGCGGCGAGGGAGATAAAGAGCATGGACGCCGGGGTCATGGCATCCGCCGAGACAGGTCCGGCGACAGGCGTGGGTGGGTCGGCGAGATTAAGGTAAACGGCCAGAATCGATACATCGGCAAGTCGCGGGAGAAGATGGAGCTGGCCTACGAGCACGCGATTGCGTACTTCGTCTACGACGGCTACGTGAGCAAGGTGCTCATGAAGGAGCTCACCGCCTTGAAGCCGGGAGAGTTGGATGAATGGAAGGCGGTGTGGGAGGAGGTCAAGTTCCTGCCAACCGGGATGTGGACGGTGATGTGGGCCAGAGGCTTGTGCCATCCGAGAGCAAGGTAAGTCGGTTACCAACGTGCCGAGTTCTGTCGACCAAATCGGTGTCATTACGCTGATGTTGACGAAGTCATTCCGTTTGTATGTGTTGGCGCGGCAGGTTCGACGACATACTCGGCAGGTTCCGTGGGTACGCGAGTTCGGGTGATGCGCTTCATGACGTGCTCTGGCCGGCGATCTGGTTCCCCATCATCGAAAACACGGAGGAAGGCAAGGAGGAGACAAACGCTCTCATGTCGGCGATGGCAAATCGCGTGTCGATGTGCGCGGCGTATGGGAAGGTCGCGGCGAGCGCGGCGTTTGGGAAGGTCGATGCGAACGCGGAGGGGAAGGCAGGATAGAAGACGGAGATGGAAGGCGCGGAGGGGAAGGAGGACGAGAGGACAGAGATGGGGGCCCAGGCGTTAGCGGCATCTGCATGCGCCCTCTGGTGCTTCGTCGAGACGGGGGCGTCGGTGCTCGGTGCTGTGGGCGAAGGGAAGGCGGCCGCGATGGTGGCAGGTGTGGGGGAGGAGAGGGCCGAGCACTTCAAGAAGGTCATGCACGCGGTTATCGACTTAGCACGCAGTCGGCAGGCTCCCCTGGGGGAGGTTGCACATAACGTCGCGCCAGAGCTGCAGCGCCATGCAGTGGCCAGGGCCTTCGAGGCGGGAATTGAGGAAGTCGAGGCCGACATGATCGCAAGAGCGACGGTCGAGACCTTGGCGTTCTGGGGAATGTGCCCCGTCGCCGGGCCCAAGCTCAAAGAGCAGGGCATCGATGTGCCGTGTGACGCGAAGATGGAGTACGATTTGGAGCACAGGGGGAGGAAGGGTGAGAAGGTCAAGCAGGCCAAGGGCAGCAAGAGGAAGAAGACGCAGGCGGGCAAGCAGGCCAAGGACAGTACAGATGCGGTTTCGGCGGACGGAGGTGTTTAGGTTGCTAGGGTGTATATATGTTGGTATGGCCGGCGCCGATTTCGACGTAATTTTGATGAATGTTTTCCTTGTAGCGCAAGAATCTTTTTGTTACAGTTCTCTTTGCTTCACTTTGGGATGAAAAAAATCACAGTCCACATAGAAACATGCTAAACGAATATCACCGATGAGCCATGTCGGCGCATATGTCGACATGATATGAACATGCTAGTCGGCGAAATAGATGTCGGTGCAACAAGGCATTATAGAATCATGGTTCTAGGCGGTGTGCGTTGTCGGCAAAATGTCGACATCGCCGAATATGCCGGCGATTTGTCCTTTACGACGTCGACATCAACTTCTGCGACACCTGTCTGCATGGTTAGTATTTTTGTTTCGTACTGGGCGACCGACAACATTCACCGACAACATTACAAGTAGGGTTCGCAAGGACCTTGCTGTGGGTTGTTTATAAACTACACAGACACATATCCTACAAGGGACTTCATGCCGACTTCGCATATCCCAGAAACAGTATTCGAAGGGGGGGGGGGGGTATAAGTCTTCCAAATCAACTGTCAAACATTATATATGTTGTGTTTGTGTAGGCTGTAGTGGGTTAGCCTATAGGGGGGGTCACAACATTAGGGTTTCATATTTGTACTCACCATCCTTTCTAGTTCCTCATTCCTGCCTGTTCATTCTGACATGGTATCAGAGCAGGTCCTTTGCTAGGACCGCTCCTAGGGCCCACCGCTACCTACCTACCTACCTACCTATCGTGCGCCCTCGTGCGCCCCCGCACGCCCTCGTGCGCCTCTACCTACCGCGCGCCCTCGTGCGCCTCTACCTACCGCGCGCACGCAGCCCGCTAGCCACCCGCGCGCGGCTCGTTTTTAACGCGCGCGACTCGCTAGCCGCCCGTGCGCGGCCGATTTTTCGCGCGCGCGCCTCGCTAGCCGCCCGCGCGCGGCCGATTCTTCGTGCGCGCGACCAGCTAGCCGCCCGCGCGCGGCTTAGGGTTTGTCACGCGACCCGTCGCAGCCTTGTGCGGCTCCGCGCACTGCCCGCGAGCTGCCCGCCGCTGCAGGCTCTCGCCGCCCGCCGCGTCGCCTTTCCCGTGGCGTCGTCACCTCCCTACCCGCTCGTGGCGGCCCTTTCAGCCGCCGTCGCGGCTCCTTACCCACGCATCGCGGCCCCTTAGCCGCCCGTCGCAATCCCTCAGCCGCCCCTTCGCGGCTTCGACTTCGTCTGCAGCAGCTGCCGCTACCGAACCTGCAGCAGCAGCCGCCGCCGACCTGCAGCAGCTGCCGCCGCCGAGCCTGCAGCAGCAGCCGCCGCCGACCTGCAGCAGCTGCCGCCGCCGAGCCTGCAGCAGCAGCCGCCGCTCGACCTGCAGCAGCTGCCGCCGCCGAGCCTGCAGCAGCAGCCGCCGCTCGACCTGCAGCAGCTGCCGCCGCCGCGCCTGCAGCTGCAGCCGCCACCGACCCTGCAGCAGCTGCCGCCACCGAGCCTGCAGCAGCAGCCGCCGCCGACCTGCAGCAGCTGCCGCCGCCGAGCCTGCAGCAGCAGCCGCCGCTCGACCTGCAGCAGCTGCCGCCGCCGAGCTTGCAGCAGCAGCCGCCGCTCGACCTGCAGCAGCTGCCGCCGCCGCGCCTGCAGCTGCAGCCGCCACCGACCCTGCAGCAGCAGCCGCCGCCGAGCCTACAGCAGCGGCCGCCGCCGACCCTGCAGCAGCTGCCGCGGAGCTCCCTGCTACGACCTGGCCCCGCCCCGCTGTTGCAGCGGCCACGCTGTCGCCACTGTCTTGCGCCCGCCGCACCAACCACTGGTGAGCTTTGCCGTGCTAGCACTGCTACCGTTACTGCTGCTGCTACTGCCTTTACTGCTCCTGCTGTTGCTGCCGCTACTGCTGCTGCTCCTGACGTGGCCAGATGCAGCTCCAGCAGGCTCGTGAGTGGTACGCCGGCTTGGGCAGTCGGGGTGGCCGTAGTGGTAGTCGCTCTGGAGTGCGTCGTTCGGGAGCCTCTGGTAGTAGACCGGTGCAGCAGACGTGCCCTCTTCTGCTCCAGCAGGCTCGTGAGTGGTACGCCGGTTTGGGCAGTCGGGGTGGCCGGCGTGGTAGTCGCTCTGGCGTGCGTCGTTCGGGAGCCCCTGGTAGTGGACAGGTGCAGCAGCCGTGCCCTCTTCTGGTCCAGCAGGCTCGTGAGTGGTACGCCGGTTTGAGCAGTCGGGGTGGCCGTAGTGGTAGTCGCTCTGGCGTCCGTCGTTCGGGAGCCTCAGGTAGTGGACAGGTGCAGCAGCCGTGCCCTCTTCTGCTCCAGCAGGCTCGTGAGTGGTACGCAGGTTTGAGCAGTCGGGGTGGCCGTAGTGGTAGTCGCTCTGTGAGTGAGGCAGCCGCTCTCGGTGCCAGTACGTCTGTTGCCCTCGGTGCAGGTGAGGCTACCACTCCCGGTACTCGCGTGTCTGCTACTCCAGGTGCTGGTGAGCCTACTGCTCTAGGTGCTAGTGCGTCTGCTGCTCCAGGTGCTCGCGTGTCTGCTACCCCAGGTGATGGTGAGGCTGCTGCCCTAGGTGCTAGTGCGTCTGTGCCCCCTGGTACTGAGTCGACTGCAGCACTGCACACCTTCACCCTGGACTCAGGTGCTTCTCGCTCTTTCTTTCGTGACCGCACTGTCCTTGAGCCACTCGCTCGGCCAGTTGCTGTCTCCCTTGCTGACCCCTCTGGGGGTCCGGTCATTGCGACCTCCTCCACTGTCCTTCCTTGTCCTGCGGTCCCGTCCGGCACGCTGTCAGGTCTCTACCTCCCCTCGTTCTCTACGAACTTGGTGGCGGGTTGTGCGCTCCAGGACTCGGGTGTTCACCAGTTCACCCCTGCCTACGAGCGCGTGACACACTGCACGTGTGCTCGGACGGGTCGCCACCTGGCTACTTTCACTCGAGAGCCGGGGTCGGACCTGTACACACTGACCACTGAGTCCCCTCAGGTAGCTGCGTCTGCGTCTACGTCTGCGTCTGCGTCAGGTCAGCTGTCCGCCCCCTGCTCGTGTCGCTCTCTGGCGCATGAGACTGTCCTTTGGCACCACCGCCTTGGTCACCCGTCTGTGCAGCGCCTTCGGGCCATGCACAAACGGGACCTTGTTGCTGGTCTTCCCAGGGTGCTCCCTCCCCTTCCCGACTCACCTGCTCCTCCCTGTCTTCCCTGTGTCGAGGGGCGGCAGCGCGCCGCTCCTCACTCCTCCTCCTTTCCCCCGACGACTGCTCCTTTGCAGACACTCCACATGGACGTGTGGGGCCCAGCCCGCGTCCGTGGTCAGGGTCAGGAGAGGTACTTCCTGATTGTTGTTGACGACTTCTCGCGCTACACCACGGTCTTCCCCTTGCGCACCAAGGGTGACGTCCCTGATGTCTTGATCCCTTGGATCCGCAGATCTCGTCTCCAGCTTAGTGAGCGTTTCCGCTCCGACTTCCCTGTCCTGCGTCTGCACTCTGACAGAGGTGGAGAGTTTTCCTCTGGCCTCTTGGAGGCCTTCTGTCAGCAGGAGGGCATTGAGCAGTCGTTCACGCTTCCGGCCTCTCCACAGCAGAATGGGGTTGCTGAGCGCCGCATTGGCTTGGTCATGGAGGTCGCTCGTACCTCCTTGGTTCATGCGGCTGCCCCCCACTTTCTGTGGCCGTTTGCAGTCCGATACGCTGCGCATCAGCTCAACCTCTGGCCCCGTGTCTCCTTGCCCGAGACTTCTCCGACACTGCGTTGGACGGGAGAGGCTGGCGATGCGTCGCGTTTTCGGGTCTGGGGATCCCGAGCTTTTGTCCGCGACACGTCCGCGGACAAGCTCTCCCGTCGCGCTGTCCCCTGCGTCTTCCTTGGCTTTGTCCCGGACGCCCCTGGTTGGCAGTTCTACCACCCCACCTCGCGGCGTGTCCTGGCCTCTCAGGACGTCACTTTTGACGAGTCCGTCCCCTACTACCGCCTCTTCCCCTACCGCACTGCCCCGCTCCCCCCCCCGCCTCTCTTCCTCGCTCCAGGTGCAGAGGTACCAGACCCCCTCCCCCCTCAGGGTGCCGCTCCCTCAGGTGTGTCCCAGGTAGACCCGGGTGAGCCTGTCGAGGTAGCTGTTGACTCTCGTCCTGCGTCTAGGGGTGCTGAGCCTGGGGGTGCTGAGTCTGGGGGTGCTGAGCCTGGGGGTGTTGAGCCTGGAGGTGCGGAGCCTGGGGGTGTTGAGCTTGGAGGTGCGGAGCCTGGAGGCGCTGAGCCTGGGGGTGCGGAGTCTGGGGGTACTGAGACTGAGCGTGCTACACCTGGAGGAGCCCTCTCCTCCCAGCAGCTGCAGGAGAGGTACCTCGAGTACTGCCGCCTCCGGAGAGGTGCTGCTGGAGCTCGTCCCGGTACTTCCCCTCCTACCCAGGAGCTCCCCCCCATTCAGCAGATCCGAGAGTGGTACACGCGACGCTGCAGTCTTCGGAGTGGTGCTCCGGGTGCTGCGGACCCTGGGGGTGGCACTGCTGCTGGTGCTGAGGACCCGGGCTTTGGAGCTGCTGCTGGTGCTGAGGACCCGAGCGGTGGAGCTGCTGCTGGTGCTGAGGACCCGAGCGGTGGCGCTGCTGCTGGTGCTGAGGACCCGAGCGGTGGCGCTGCTGCTGGTGCTGAGGACCCGAGCGGTGGCGCTGCTGCTGGTGCTGAGGACCCGGGCGTTGGGGCTGCTGCTGGTGCTGAGGACTCGGGCGTTGGAGCTACTGCTGGAGCTGAGGACCCGGACGGTGGAGCTGCTGCTGGTGCTGCGGAGCCGAGCGGTGGCGCTGCTGCTGGTGCTGAGGACCCGGGCGTTGGAGCTACTGCTGGAGCTGAGGACCCGGGAGTTGGAGCTGCTGCTGGTACTGAGGACCCTGCCGCTGGTGTCTCTGCTGGTTCTGGAGACACTACGCGGCCGCGACCGTACTTCGTACCACTTCTTCAGCAGGTTCTTGGTCAGGCTCCTCCTCCTTGTCCTCCTCCCTCCGTAGAGTGTCCTCCGCCTGTCCAGTCGCAGTCACAGTTCCCGCCTGCCTCGCCTCTCCCTGCTCCCTCTCCTTACGCTGGTCCCACAGGAGGTCTTACAGAGCGTCGTGAGCCTGAGTCTCGTCCTGCGTCGCCTGTTCGTACTACTCGCACTGGTCGTCGTGTCCCACGTGAGCGTCCTCCTCCTGTCCCTGGCACTCACTACATGACTCTGCGTCCCTCTACTGCTCCTCAGCGTGTCCCGCTACCGTCTCCTCCTGCTTCCTCTCTGCCTACTCTTCCTGACCCGGAGTCTGACTCCCGTCGTGCTGCCAGTCCCACTGTCACCCGTCTCCTCGCTACTGTTGTCACTGACCCTACCTTTGAGTCCTCTGCTGCGTCTGCTCTAGTCGCTGAGTTGATAGACTTTGCTGCCCGCTGTCGTCTAGACTACGCCGCTAGCCTTGTTGCTGAGTCTGAGTCTGTGTGTCCTCCGTCCGTCGGGGGTGAATGTGCTCTTGGCACGGACGTCGTTGAGGACAGACAGGAGGAGTTCCAGTGCTTTGCTGCTGCTTTGCCCCACCTCGTGTCCATGCTAGTTGCCCTTGAGGGAGACCCGGATGCACCAGACATCCCGACCTCGCGCACTTACGCTGAGGCGATGGCGGGTCCCTACTCCTCTCAGTGGCAGACAGCCATGGACGCAGAGATGGCTTCCTGGAAGTCCACACGCACCTACGTCGACGAGGTTCCCCCACCTGGGGCGAACATCGTCAGTGGCATGTGGATTTTTAGGGTGAAGCGCGACTACGAGCTTCACTCACTTGACTTCAGCACTGCTTTCTTGCAGAGCAGCCTGCACGAGGAGATCTGGCTGCGCCGCCCTCCTGGCTTCACTGGGTCGGTTCCTCCTGGTACCCAGTGGAGGCTTCAGCGGCCGGTCTACGGTCTCCGCCAGGCACCGCGTGAGTGGCACGACACACTGAGGACGACACTTGCGGCTCTTGGGTTCGCTCCCTCTACTGCTGACCCGTCACTGTTTCTACGCACAGACACCTCACTGCCGCCCTTCTACATCCTCGTGTACGTCGACGACTTGGTCTTTGCCACTGCTGACACCGCGGCACTCGCCCACGTGAAGTCGGAGCTGCAGAGGAGACACACGTGCACAGACCTGGGTGAACTGACAAGCTATCTTGGCTTGCGGATCACCCGGGACAGAGCACGGCGCACCATCACCTTGACTCAGTCACACATGGTGCAGCAGATCCTTCAGCGCTTTCGCTTCACGTACTCCTCGCCTCAGTCCACTCCTCTGCCTACCGGTCACTCGCTCTCAGCTCTGCCTTCGGATGAGTCCGTAGAGTCGAGTGGCCCGTATCCAGAGCTTGTGGGCTGCCTTATGTACCTGATGACCTGCACTCGACCTGACCTTGCATACCCTCTTAGCATCCTTGCACGCTATGTCGCTCCTGGCCGTCACAGGAAGGAGCACATGGATGCCGCTAAGAGGGTGTTGCGCTACTTGTGCAGTACGTCGGGCATGGGGCTAGTGCTTGGAGGGCGAGACCGAGTTGTACTTACTGGACACTCAGACGCTTCTTGGGCGGACGACCAGGCTACTCAGCGGTCGTCTCAGGGTTACACCTTCAGCCTTGGCTCTGGCTCAGTTTCTTGGCGTTCTACACGCTCTTCTTCTGTTCTCAGCTCCAGTTGTGAGGCTGAGATCTATGCCACAGCCATGGCGGCCCAGGAGCTACGCTGGCTGACTTACCTGCTGACCGACTTGGGTGAGCAGCCTCGTTCTCCTCCAGTGCTGTACGTCGACAACCAGGCTGCCATTGCCTTGTGTGAGGAGCACAGACTGGAGCACAGAACGAAGCACATCGCCCTGCGGTACTTCCTTGCTCGAGAGCTGCAGCAGCGCGGTCAGCTTTGTCTGCGTTACGTGGCCACTGAGGCCAACCTTGCTGATGTGTTCACCAAGGCGCTTCCGCCTTGTGACCATCAGCGCTTCTGCACTCTGCTAGGCCTTGTGCCTACTGGACCTCACTTACTTACCTCTTGACCTTGCTTGTACTGTGATCACTATATATATATCTACCTGCATGTTTACTGTTGCTAGGTTGTGATCACTGTATCTCATGCTCTGTTATAAACTTGCATGTGAACTGGTCTTGTGACCACTAGCTTGTGCTCGGAATTTGTGTGGTATCCTTGAGATCCACCCTGAGCTTGTTGTTGCCTTGCTTTGCCTTGACTGGTCTTGTGACCCCTAGGTCTCCCCCACTTTGCCTATGGGGGTGTGTCAAACATTATATATGTTGTGTTTGTGTAGGCTGTAGTGGGTTAGCCTATAGGGGGGGTCACAACATTAGGGTTTCATATTTGTACTCACCATCCTTTCTAGTTCCTCATTCCTGCCTGTTCATTCTGACGTCAACAGCACATCCTACAAGGGTCTTCATGTCTACTTCTTGCGCTTGGTCGGAGGACGCTGCACGGGTGCGGTCGGCTTGGCCGGTGCTGTCGACTTGGCCGGTGCGGTCGGCTTCGCCAGGTCGGCCTTGGTCTTCGGCATCTGCTCCTCCCGTGTGTCTGGAAACAGGGCGGTGCCCCAATCACTCGGCTTCAGTTTGAGCGCCACAAGCGCACAGGCGAGGCGAAGCTTCAAGACCACCTTGGGGCCCAACCCCTTGATTCCCATGCCAGGCGCTTTAGACAACATCGGTGTCGTTCCCGGTTTGAGAATCGTGAGGGCGTCGCAGAAGGTCCCGATGCCCGGTGCCGCGATCCTGTGCAGCGCATCGACCACGGCCTCGGTGTCGGCATCGCCATCGCTCGCGCGTAGCTGGCGCACCGCATCCATGACCTTGAGCATGCGGCGAACCCTCATGTTGAGTGCACCCTGCATCGCGCCTGACAGGAGGGTGTGGCGGTCGATGAAGCCCGGCTCGGCGATCCTGTCGCAAAGGCGACGGGTGTCATTGGCGGTGGCGGAGTTCCATAGGCGCCAAGCGTCCCTCACGTTCTTTGCATCCCGCCACGGTTGCACCACGTTGAGCTCGTAACTAGCCTCCTCGTCCAACTGTGGGGGTGGCGGGGGTTTCTCAGCCCCCGTGTTGGCCGAATCCGCCGAGCCACCCTCACTGGGAGCTTGCACGGGTGCCGACGGCGGGGCCTCCGGCACTCTCCGTGCTTCCGACAAGCGGAGTGCCTCGGTGACACGGACAGGTTATCTCGGCGGTGAGCGACGCGATGGTGTCGTCGCGCTTCTCGATCTCGTCGTGGAGATCAATCTTCTCGTTCGCGGCGCGCTCCCTTTCCATCTGCAGCGTCGCCTTGAGGGACATGTTGTAGTACTCGGTGTCAAAGCGGACCGAGATTTTCTGCAGCAGGAGGACAAAGATGTTATGGGCGCGTTGGTTTGGTATACACTCGTCAGCGACAGTATCGTCGACATACCTCTGGCTGAATTTGGGTTGGGTCCCGGCGCTTGTTGATCGTCTCGGTGTCGACGCTCTCGACCCATTTCGCCGAGTGCTGGAATAGGGGGATCCGGCAGAGCTTGGAGCCTTGGACGTACGAATGCCATGGTGTGCGGACCAGCTTCACCGCTAGGTCCTCGGCGACTATGCAGCTCAGCATTAAGAGAGTACGCCAGAAGTGCACCGCGGCTTTGTCGGCGTCGGACCCCTCGGCAGCCTTCCCTTCCGCCTGCAATTCGTCACGTGTATTAGGAGCTCAGACACGGTCGGCAACACGACCCCAAGACAAGGCTACGAGGGCGTCGACAAACATACCGTCTTCAGCATCTCGTCGACGCTGGGGAAGATATGCTCGGCGAGGAGCTTCAGGAGCTTCTCAGAGGGTGGCACCCTGCTCCGACCCAAGAAGTAGTCCTGCTTGTAACCAGAGTAACCGGCCTTCTTCATCACCACCCCTACTGGAATGGCGGCGATGTACGCACGCGTCATCTTGTCTAGCGCCCAGTGACCAAGCTCGGCGATCTCCGCACGCGGCATGCCGTTGATGGCCAGCTCCTGGGCCCCTCCCGCTCGAGCGGCGTGCACGTTCCTCTTGCAGAACACCTTGTTGGTGTCCCACAACTGCCGCGTCCAGCGTTGGTGGCTTGCCGCAGAGAGCTCCCCTTGGTCGGTTTCATTTCGGGCGAAGAAGAGGTGATTCTTGTACCAGCTCGCGCGTGTGCTGGTGTCGACCGGCGGAATGAGGCGGACGCCGTGAAACTGGCCGATCTGGTCGAGGATGAAGTGCAACCACAGGCCCGTCTCGCCGACGGCGCACAACTCCGCTTCGAGGTGCCGCGCCGCGTAGCTCTGCTGCAGACGCGCATCCTTCGACGTCTTCGAGTTCCGCGCGGCGATGACCATGACGACCGGCTGGTTCTCCGGGTTCACCGACGAGGTGCTCGCCAGTCGGTACAAGAAGATGTCGGGGAGCGTGATCTCGCGGATGCTTGCACCGCGCAGGAGAGAGTGGTGGGAGAGTAGCGTGAGCACCTTCAAGAGAAGAAACCTCCACAGCGTCTGCGAAGGACCCCTCCCTCGCGGGTTCCACGCCTTGGCCGCCCACGCCGGCAGCACCCTGAACATGATCTGGCGGAACTGTTCGGCGGTGTAGGTATCGCCAACGGTTCCGCGACGCCGATCGACGCAGTTCCTGCCAACAATGCCAAGGATAAGGGGTATTTAGGGCAGCGTCGACTTATTTGATGACAACAAGAATGTGGTCGACAGAGGTTAAACCTAAACTTACTTGATGTCCCGCTCGTTCTTGGTGCGGATCATGAACCGCACCTCCGACCTGACCACCGATATCTCCCGCATGATGCTCAGCTCCGTCTCCCGGTAGAGCGTCGCCTCCACTCTCGCCGCCATCTGGCATGCCTTTATGCGCCCGAGGAGCGTGTGCACCGTTGTCGACTGCACAGGCTGTGTTCCTTTGGCGTTGTCGGCCCCCTTGCTGGACTCAGCATCGAGCTTCAACTCCCGAACCATGTACTTCACGTATGCGCGAAGCCGGGACTTGGTGACCCTAGGGCCGTGCAGCCACACGTACGCCCGGGGGACATCGGCCTCTTGGTCCCAGTTTTTCTTCTTGTTCTCCCGGATGTAGTGCCCTATCTCGTCGATGTGCTTCAGCTTGTGCTCCTGCGGAAGCTTGTTGCGAATTTGCTTCAACATCTTCGCCGCCCACCTCTTGTAGTGATAGATCCACGAGGTGTACTGCCTCAGCGTGCTGTTCCTCTCCACGGTTTGCAGGTGGCGAAGAGCGTCCATGACGAGCACGTCGATGCAAGCGTAGACCATGTCTTCCTCGACGAAGTCTGCCGCCTTCCACTGTTCGCGCGGCACCGACAGGTTCCCCTGGTCCACATCCTCGTCCTGTTCGAGCAGTTCATCTATGAATTCAAGTTCCCGCCTGAGTCGTTCTTCCAAGGTGCGCTGATTAGTGCTACGCGGTGGACGCTCGTCGTTTTCGTCATCGCTTTCCTCCTCCTCCTCCTCCTCCTCCTCCTCCTCCTCCTCCTCCTCCTCCTCCTCCTCCTCCTCCTCCTCCTCCTCCTCCTCCCCCTCCTCCTCCTCCTCCTCCTCCTCCTCCTCCTCGACATCAACCTGGTTTCCAGGTGCGGTCGGTGCCGGCGAAGTTCCTGGCTGATCATTTTGCGTCGGAGTCTGTTTTTTTTTCTTGTTAAACTTCCCTATCAACGGTGGCGGAATTGTCAGAATCCCAGCCACTAACCACTGGGATAAAAGGGCTTGTTTGTGTAGCGGGTGAGTGCGCCCATAACCCCCCAGGCCAACGTGCCTGTAACCCTTCCCTAGGATCAATCGGGGATCACCAGTGGACCTCTGACACCACCCCGCACTGGGATGCCCGAGGTGCACACACCGGGATTCGAACCCGAGACCTTCGCTCTGATACCATGTCAGAATCCCAGCCACTAACCACTGGGATAAAAGGGCTTGTTTGTGTAGCGGGTGAGTGCGCCCATAACCCCCCAGGCCAACGTGCCTGTAACCCTTCCCTAGGATCAATCGGGGATCACCAGTGGACCTCTGACAGGAATGTCCGTGGTGAACACCCCTACTGGAATCTGCGTCAGCTTGTCAAGATCGTAGAGCAACGGTAGCGACTCTTCCTCGGTAGATGTCGGATTGTGGTCGGTGGAGGGACTAGCATCGGACATGTCGACGTCGGCCATGTTGCAGCACGTATGTCGCTGTACCGTCGTCCGTGAGCGATGTGGAGGTTGGTAAACTAGAGACGGTACTGAGTCACAGGTGCGGTGTACGCCCGAAGAGTAGCGCGGCGGTCGTCGTCTATATCTCGCTCAATAACGTCTAGCTCGGCTTCGACCTCGAGATTGCGGGGGGTGGTAAACCACAGACAGTACTGAGTCACGGGTGCGTTGTACGCCCGAAGAGTTGCGCGGCGGTCTTCTTCGAATTCTCGATCAAGTGCGTCTAACTCGGCTTCGACCTCAAGCCATTCCAGCTGCGTCTACTGAGTCGGCGGGGGGTGGGGTTGGTTGCGGCTGTTGGGCTCTAGGGCGACCTCTGGCCATGCGTCGCCGACTTGCTACGTCGGCCGTGCCGGTGATATTTTGAAATGATGTTGCTGTAAAACACCTGACGTCGAAGTCGAGGAGTACTGTCCACATTCGACGTTATTGGAGGGTGCCAGGTAGAAGCAACTTGTGCCGACTAGGTCGAATTGTCGGCAACCGAGAAACCTACAGGCATGATGACAGACAGGCAGCTGAAAATTTTAAGTGCACGAGAGAGTAGGAAGAAACGCAGTAACGGACAAGGGAATGAGCAGACGCGCATGGTCACGGACGGGTATGGGCGTGAGCGGCTCCGATGCTGCCGCGCGTCATGCAAACCCCTAGGCTACTGCCGCCATGCATGTGATCTCGTTATGGCGGCGCACTGTCCGACGTGCCACGTGCCAAGCATGGCTAATGGGACGCCGCGCTGCACCGAAGGGGCGTAAGCCAGGGTCACTCCACGGTGGAATGGGCTTGTGTTACGTGGATTGGGACAGACATTGGCGCCTCAGTGCAGAAATTACGGCATGCCGACGCCAATCTCCCAAGGGCCCAAAGCCCAGCATGTCAACTCTACTGTTGGCGCCCTAGGATCGGCGTCGACCTCCATTTGGCGCGCTTGGTTGTGTGCTTAGGTTCATTGAACCTGGACTGTATTGAGAATGTGTCCCGTGGCTTGGTGATGAGCCTTGGGATGGCCTGGTCGACATCAACATCGCCTGGTGCTCGCGATGCCATAGGACAGTATCATTGTGGACGGTCCGATTTGCGCCGCGTGGATCGCGCATCGACAATTTTTTGCGGGATCTTCGACTTCCCGCGCAGAAAATATCACCGCTGGGGCGACGCGTGGCCATGACGCCCACCTCGTGGCAGCCTTGTAGACGGTGGGGACGGTCTGGCTCCTCGCTATTGGTCCGCGTGGAGGCAGTCGCGGCTCGTCGTGGCGAGCTTTCCTTTTTTGTCCGCTGTGATTTACTTCTCAGGAATCTCCCAGCGGAAACCGATATCGTCGGATTGTCGACAATCCCGAGGGCTCCCGAGGCCCCTGGGACGCCATTTGGGCCCAGCTTGCAGCTCGGAGGTCGTCGGGAGGTCGTCAATCCCGAGGGGGGGCCTTGTCCAATTTGAACCGCGAAATTGGGCAGCATTTAAGCGTCGATCCTTGTTGGTATTGATATATACATCAAAAGCAGTCGTAACTGAGCGTGATGGTATGCACCATGCACTGCCCAACAGCGCATCTGGGGCGGCAAAAAACCCCTTCTTGGCTTGTTCCAGATAGCAGCAAAGTTCATTGTCCACTTCCATTTCTTGTTGTCAGTTTCCCTGATCCGCGCCAGCATTTTTTCTTCCGCTTCAAAAACACTACTGGCTCGCTTGCCTTTCCCGGATGACCCTTGCCTCAGGCATTTGGCTCCCATCGTTCTCGTGTACACTGGACGTGATGGGCCCTCTAAAGCTTGGAGCTGCTGGTGCAGAGTACTTCCTCACCATAGTCGATGTCTACACCTGCATGACTCGGGTGTATGTGTTGTCCAAGAAGAGCGACGTAGCTGAAACGGTGATGACCGATTGGTTGTCGATGGTGGAGCGGCAACAAGATCGGCTAGTCAAGTCAATCCGTACCGATCGAGGGGGAGAGTTCCTGAGCAAGGAGTTTGGGTTGTGGCAAAAGAAGAATGGCATAAGGCACTCCCTTACCATGCCATACTCCCCTGCAATGAATGGCATCGCCGAGCGAGCGAACCGCACGATTACGGAGGCGGCACGCGGGTTGCTCATTGAAGTCGGGCTACCTGACTATTTCTGGCCTGATGCGGTGCGGAGGGCGTGCGTGGCCAAGAACAGAGCTTTGACTCATGCAGGAGCAGACAAATTGGTGCCCTATGTGGAGTGGCTTGAAAGTAAGCCAAAGGTATACTCTTGAAAATTTTACATGCTGTCCCGTCAGTCGGTTCAACCACGCTGTCCCCCTTTCGGGGTGAGTTGAGATACATGTTTTACATGTTGAGATACATGTTTCATTGCTATCAATTTTGAAAGCATGCTATTGGTGGTTAAATTCTTCCCTTTTTTTCTGAACGTCGTGTACTTCTTCTTCCAACAATGTCCATCCTCCCTCTTTCTCGCCTCTCATCCTCCTTGTCCTTTCTCTGTCTCCCTGTACTTCTCCCCCTCTTTCTTTAGCTACGCTGGTCCTTTTACCTCTGTACCCTCTTTCCCTCCGCATCCCCCACACGTATGCATGCATCAGGTCCATTTTATACGCGCGGACGACAACATGTAATGCCATTCTTTGCCACATGGTGAAATCACGCAGTACTGCATCGTTGATGGAGCTCTCATTATTGAATTCATTCGCAAAGACCACACTTACAAGTTCTTGTTTCATACGGAAGATGGGGAAAATATATGCCGTGCTATTCACATCCATTCGCTACAACAGGTACAATAGATTTGATTCTTCTAATGTATGCCAAACGCGGCAGAATGGGGTGAAGGGGGGGGGGATGGAGGCTTATTTTCTCTCCTTTGGCTTCTTCCCACTTTTCCGCTTCCCTGTCTGCTCTTGTTCCCCTGGCTGAACTTCTTTCCCGCCCCTGTTTCCACTTCTTCCCTACTTCTGTCGTCGAACTTCCTCCCACTCCACTTCTCCTCCCACTTCCTGGCCACTCAACTTTTCCCCAGCGTCCAACACCATTCGCACATCCAGCTGAAGGAAGTGCAGGAGGAATTGAAAGCCGTGTCCAGGCGAGCAGAGGAGCAGGCACGGGATGCTGCCTTGGACAAGGAAGCCTTGGAGCAGGGCTCGTCAGCAGAGCAGGCTGAGCTGGTGGCCAGGCTGGCGGCCGCTGAGCAGCGATTGGAGGAGAGCCGGGCTGCAGATGGCCGGCTGAGGGAGGAGGTGCGGGAGAAGGAGGCGCAGGTGCAGGCGCTCTCCAGGGATCTCGAGGAGGGACGGGCTGCAGACGGCCGGCTGAGGGATGAGGTGCAGAAGAAGGAGGCGCAGCTGCAGGCACGCTCAAGGGACCTCGAGGAGACACGGGCTACAGACGGCCAGCTAAGAGATAAGGTGCAGGAGAAGGCGCAGTGACGTTTTTTTTTTTTTCTTCCCTTGCTGCTCTCTTGTCCCGCTATTTTTACTTATTTTCAACTACTCTGTCTGCTTCAACCCCACCCTCACTAGCTACTTCTCCCTCCTCTCCCTCACGTCCTCACGTCCCCATGCTTCTCCCTTCTCCCCCACTCCCCTCCTCACGCTTTTGTTCTGCCTGCCAGGCGAAGGAGTTGGAGCAGCGCTTGACTTCAAAGCGGGACAGGCTGGCAGACAGTCTGGCGGCCACCATGCAGCAACTGGAGGACAGCCCAGCGGCAAATGCCCAGGTGAGGAAGGAGGTGAAAGGGAACGAGGCGCATTGACGTCTTTTGTGCTTCTCTGCCTGCTCTCTTGTCCCGCGATTTCCACTTATTTTTCGCAACTCTGCCTGCTATTATCCCCATGTTTCCACTTCTTTCAGGTTCTCTGCTTAAATATGCCCCCCTGTTTCTTCTCCTCCATCTCCATGACCACTCATTCCTCACCATTTGCACATGCTGTTGAAGGCGGTGGGCAGGCGAGCACAGGAGCAGGTGCAAGGATGCCGTGTGATGTGAACCCCCTCTCGACTTTTCCTCTGCGCCCCAATGCCTCACAGGCGGAGGAGCAGGTGCAGGCAGCCGTGCGGGAGAGGCAAGCCCTGGAGCAGCGCCTGGAGGACTTGGAGCTCTCAACGACGGACCAGGTGAGCCTTTTTTTCCACCTTAGGCGCTGGCCTCACGTCCAACCTAGCAACGATGTGGGTTAGGCTTTTTATTTTTCCCTTTTCTTTTCTTTTTCTTTCTTTTTTTTCGTAACTTGGTTGCGCTCTAGTATCTGAAACTTCTTCATTCCTATCCTCACTGCCTCCCACTCCCTCCTTCCCCGTCAGAGCAATTCGTCGGAGGAGGACTTGTTGACAACTATTGGGATAAAGAAGCTCTAAGCATACCTTTAATTACCACTCAGCTAGTCCCCACGGGGTCACCTTCAAGGGTCCTCGGGTGCCTGGCAAAGCCAGCCCCTAACCAAGGGTCCGTGTTTGTCGAGGGACACACTAAGCGTAAATCCGGTCGTGTGCACTAGAACGCTCCCTAACGCATTTGCGGAAGCAAGAACAACTGATTGGCTCGTGTGCAGAAATTTCTCATCGCGTCAATACGTCGATAGAAAAAATGTTCACTCCAAATGGTTGTTTACTATCAAGCATAAGCACACATTTATATTTCGCCTAGCACGCATGCATAAGATAATAGCAAACAGTTGATAAATTGCAATTCTATGACTTCGCCATGCTGTCTGAAAAACGGTTGCCAAACTTCTGGTGCGTTTGGCTTTATTCGCCACCTTAGAAAGAACGGTATTCAAGTTTCAATTCAACCAAACGCCTCTGCTGACCCGTCTCACGAGCATTCGTGGATTCTCGTGTCGAATCATGATCCCTCATGTGGCTTTACCGTTTCCCCGTTGAAAAACGGAAATTGCCGTTGTAAAACAGCATTAACCGTTTTGTACCTGAAGAGAAACTGTCGCGTTACGCGCGCGACTTTAATGGCAAAGTTCACTTTTCGCCACGTCACAAAAAGACACGCTCGAGATTCAGTTTTCCAACTGAAATCTCGAGTGAATCCCGAGCACCCCTCGGGATCCCTCGGCACCCCCCGAAACACACGCGCACCCCTCAGGTGCGCAATCATGCACGACCAGACAAACTGGTCGTGCTGTACAAGACGTGCGCCGTCCTGCGCACGCTCGCAACAGTGCGAGCCTGACGCGTGGGTCTGAGGGCCCACACGCGCATGTCAGGGACCACACGCGCGGGTCCTGACAGTCGCGCGCTTTTTGACCAGTACGAAACTGGTCAAAGGACTCGGTCAAACTTCGAGCCTCACCTCCCCAGCAGGGCCTATGTTATCAGGGCAATTACCCTGTTTTGACTGAAATTATAAGGTGATTTTTAGAGCAGCCCTGATTTTCACAAGGTGATTTTCGGACCAGCCCGTAAACCTGAAGGGCGATTTTTGAGCCCACTCGGATCACTCCGGGATGTTTTCGAGGGGACCCGGAAAATTTTAGCAACACTTATAGTCCCCGACCTACTTCGCATCCCCTCCCTCTCCCCGTGTACAACGCATAGGCCACTTTCAGTGAATTATCCTTGGCATTTGCTCCTGGTTTGGCCTTCAGGTGTTTGATTTCCGGTACTGCGTTGACGTGGCTATTAGTACTCCTCCACATATAGAAATTTCTAAGTCTACAGAAAGTCTCTCTCCCCCCCTCTAGTGCCGCTCTTAAATCTCCAACCTTCCCAGCCTTCGTGCCACCCACTGTGAGTTTCACGATCATTTCCCCATCCCGCGAGATTCTGGTAAGGTAGGCTTTCAGGCCTTTTCTGGCTCGAACCCGGATTCGTCAAGGTTTTTTTTCCGCTGGCTCGGATTTTACAGGGTCTTTTTCACAGGGGCCCGGATCGTCCGAGCTAGCAAAAATCCTAGCAATAGCCCTGCTCCCCAGCACACTCGACTCCCAGAATGAACACTCATGAAACACCACGAAAGAAACATGAACGAAACATTAACAGTCATGAACGAACATGAACACAAAATGAACGAACATGAAAACACATGATCGCTCATGAAGCTTGCACGAACAGCACGCGAACATTCACGAACCCGCGAAGGCTCATGAAAACGCATAAATGCAACCTCACACTAAAATTCACAGAACTTAAGAACCGCTAAGGCGATTCATAAACCGTAAACGTCAAAATGAAAAACACACAAATGTGCATTATACACCGCACAAAATACCTTAAAACAGAAACCTTCAAATTTCACCTTGCTCGACGAATAGGCGACAGGTTGACGTGCAAAATACAATTTGCACCCAACAAACTCCCCCTCAACCTGACGGCTATTCAGCTCCCTCACTCAGCTTCTCACTGTCAACCGGCTCGGCTACATTACCGATCCCAACACCAGTTTTGGGGAAGGCAATCTTATGCTCCCCCACCCTTTCAGCTCCCATGTGATCAATTGCTTGCAGCTTCACAGAGGTAATACCGTTGCCACCCAAGGTTATGTCCGCTTCCTCCAAGCTCCACTTCACCTCAGGTTCCCCCTTCACCTGAGTCCCATCATCTAGAATGCTTGCCATATTCAGCTCCATTGTCTTCTCCTTCACAGGCATTCTTCATCTGAACCGAGACCTCACATTTCTGCTGCTCACAAGTGTCACTCTTGTGAACACCCTTCCCCTTAATCACAGCAGCAACAATGACCTTGCTCCCCCTGGCTTCTGCACCCTTCTCTGCATCAACACCAGAAACATTCCTCTTTTCACCTGCTGCAAGTCGATCGTTCACTTGGTGCAACTGCTGCACCAACATCTCCACGGTAGCCTTCAGCTCCTTTATTGTTTCAGCAGCCACCGCAGCACACTCCCCCTTGCAGCCGCAAACCCCATTCTCCTTTTCAGGTGCCACCTCACTCCATGGCACCACAGGCACATGCCACAGCTAATCATGAAGATCCTTGTCCTCATGCAGGTCCCACAGCACATGCTCACCGAGCTGCCCCTTAAAGGTTTCAGCTCCATTAGTTGCTGTACACACGCGTGCAAGCCCCATCTTCCTAAGGGAAATTAATTTCCCCTTCAGCTTCGGCACCAAAAGCACATCTTCAAGAATCATCGGCTTGCCATCAGCTCCCTTGAAGGCTGCTTTGCCGATCCCCATCACTCTCATCTTGTAGCCGCATCCTGAATTCATTTCAATGATGCTCGTTTTCCTTATCTCGTCTAGCAGGTCCGCCCTCGGGATCATATGACACGCCGCTCCGCAGTCTAGAATCCAAGTGTTGAGAGGAGTAGGCTCTGCTACCTTCTTGGCAGATGCTTTCTCACCCCCCCCATTCCCTTGCACATGGAAGAACTGCCCTGGAGCATGCTCATAGTCGTCTTCTTGTTCATTTGCGGTCTCTGCTACATAACCAACGCCATGAGGTTGGTTCTTCTCGCCATCCTCATGCTCGGGAGTCCACCACTTGGGCCACTTCCAGCATTTCACCCAAGTATGTCCCGGCTTCTTGCAATACCAGCAGGTGCCTTTGAACCCGCGGTAGCCACGGTCATCCCCTTCGTCTTCATCATTATTGCTGCTCTCCTTCTTGTCGCCACGTCCGCTTCCATGTTGTTTACGTTCATCACGTCCCCGACCATTCCTCTTACGCCACCTGCTGCCTTGCATGCCATAACCGCCATCACCATCTTGGTTGTAGTTCAGCTGCCTGCTCCTGAAGTCCTCCTCCAAGACCTTGGTTCGCACCCACTCAAGGGTCCACAACTTCTCGTTTTGAGGGAGGCTCAGCCCGCTTGTAAACTGCAGCCAAGACTCGGGTAGTAGGGACAGCATCCGTAGGCACTTCGTCTGCTCCGGGTAAGTGATGCCCGCGATTTGCAACTTCGCATACAGCTCCCGCATCTTGTCGAGAACCGGTTGAATCGGCTCCCCCTCACACAGGCGCTACGGAGAGTCACTACACAACGGGAGTATACTACGGAGGAAGGCACGGGGTTGTGTGGGTGATCGTAGCGTTGCACTAGGCGTTCTCACTACAGGTTGTAGTCGTAGAGAGATATATCAAGAATTCCACTAAGAAATTGAAAGAACATAAGATTACAATGAGGCATGCAAGTTGATATAGCTAGAATGGCATTGCAACACCTAGCAAGCCCTCTGCAAGGCGAACTATGCCAGCGCAGCAGAAGAGCGGCTTGCCAACGCTGCAGCAGAGTAGTCTGCCAGCGCGGTATAGCTGCGGTCTGCCAGCGCGGTATAGCAGCGGTCTGCCAGCGCCGCAGAGGCAGGTGAACTTCTGCGCATGTGCGCGCCTACCAAGTAGGTGCAGGTGGACGGACGCGCCGCCAGGCACATTGCGCAGGTGCCAGGTAGAACACGTGACGACGGTTTCGCCAGCGATGACTCGTCGAGCACGTGATGCCGTTCCGCAGGTTGACTTCGCGAAAACCTCTTGGGCGACATTCGCCCACATGACGAATTTCGCAGTCGCGCAACTTTCGTAGAGTGGCTCGACGAATGCTCCGTCGAGCAGCTTTCGCCTAGACGAGCCCTCTGCCAGCCTCGTCGAGGAGCTCCTATACCGGCCTTGTAGAGGAGCTCCTATACGAACCCCTCGACCCGTCCTATACGAGCCCGTCTTCTGCCGACGACTTCTGCGGACTGGTCGAGGTCGTCTTCTGCGCGCCCCCGACTGCAAAGTCTGCTTCGCCCAAGCGAGAAAAGGTCAGGGCAGGGCAGGGCAAGGCGCGCGCGACGAGGGGAGATGGCGTGCGACTGAGCGACGAGGCGCGCGACGGGGTAGGGAGGACTCGGGGGATGGAAAAGGGTGTCCGCGAGTTTAAATAATGAGGGAAACAAAGAGAAAATCGAGGGTCGAGATGGTAGGAAACGAAAAATCTACACTGAGTGGGAGGTGGCGCCCCGGATGCCTAAGGTCTAAAGCGTCCTAAGAGATGTAAATAAGCAGAAAACGCCAAGGATTAGGCTCTGTATACCATGTTAATATAGGAGTGGTAGCCATGGCTAGGAAGATAGGTTGAAGAAATTGATTAGGAAAAAGTGTCGAGAGACAAAAGTAGGAAACCCTAATTGAACTTAGGGTGTGTTCAGTTTGTGCTAGAAACTATTAAATGAACCTAAACTGAACCGGAGGTGTAACTCGCTCTAAGCATGGTGAAATAACAAAGGAA